GCGCACAACTTTAATCCTAGCACTTGGGAGGCAGAGGCAGGCTGATCTCTGTGAGTTCAAGGCCAGTCTGGTCTACAGAATTTCAGGACAGTCAGGACTACACAGAGAAATCCTGTCTTGAAAAACAAACAAACAAAAACATCCCAACTAACCAACTAACCAAAGCAAAACAAACAATCGGGCACCGTTCCCTCCCTTTATATGGCACACTGCATGAGAGTGGAAGATGAGACAAGGATTGTGTTTGTTGTTTTGGAGACAGAGTCAGGTGACAGTCCTGGCTTTGACAGTGCGAGTTTTCCTGCCTCAGCCTTGTGAGTGCTGGGGTTACAGGTGTGTGGCACCATCTCCAGGGAAAAGACAAGGACAGAAGGGACAGGCGGGTCTTGCTTCTTGGATTCCTATTTATCCCAGGAACTTGTAGACCTCACTCACCGTCTACTTTTAGGTCCTGTGAGATAGCTGACTCATTTCAATCCCCTCCCCTCCCCAGTAAGCACGCTGGCTCATTAACATGTCTGTCACTTGCATCTCTCCCTCCCCACCAAACTCTAAGACACAGGCTGGGAGAGGCTGAACAGGGCTGAGGCGTCACCGTGAACTCAGGGCTCCTTAGCTTATGCCAGTTGGCAGCTGTTAGTTCCTTTTGGTTCTATGACTTCCACTTAGCGGTTGCTTGTTTTTAGGTTGCTTTGTCACCAGGCCAAAGCAGCTTTTCCTCAGCTAGATTTCCTCGGAGATCATTTCCGTGGCACTGACGGTGAAAACCTCCCAGAACACCGGCACCTGCAACCCCAGGGTCTTGGTCCCTTTTCCTTGGGGAGTGATTAACAGTTTTCAGTGAATTAACAGGCCTAACCCCCTGGATTCTGGGTGACTTGGGGGCAAATGGAGGTCTGACCACATAAAGCTACCAGAGCAGTGTTAGAAAGAGCCCTGAACTTTTGGTTTTTCAGCTGAGAACTGGATGGGAATTGTACTCACCACCCTGCCCATTAACTCCACTGTCAAAAGCAAAGGTGGCGGGGGGTGGGGGGCAGACTGATGGAGAGAGGGAGGGAGGGAGGGGACATTGTGAAATTGCACAGCCAAATGCCAAAGATGACAGAAATGTAGAACACCATGGTTCCTAGTTTGCCCCTTTGCTGTTGTAAAAACAACAAGGACCAGGTCCTTGTAAAAACAAGGACCAGGGAGGAACTCGGAGGAGCAGAGGGAGGGAAAGTGTTTGGACTATATTGTATGAGAAAAGAATCTGTTTCATAAAAGGGAAAAATGGTCTTTTTTCATACAAACGAACAAAACCAAGCTGGGGGAGGAAAGGGTTTGTTTTAGCTTTGCTTGTTTCCGGGTTCCAGCCCATCAACCAGAGAAGCCAAGGCAGGAATCCAGAGGTGGGAACTGAAGCAGGGGCCATGAAGGCACACTCCTTACTGGCTTGCTCCCCATAGCTTTTTTATCCAGTCCAGGACCACCTGTCCAGAGGTGGTACCACCCACAGTGGGCCGGGCCCTCTTACATCACTTAATCAAGAAAGCGAGGGGCTGGAGAGATGGCTCAGAGGGTAAGAGCACTGCCTGCTCTTCCAAGTTCCTGAGTTCAATTCCCAGCAACCATATAGTGGCTCACAACCATCTGTAATGAGGTCTGGTGCCCTCTTCTGGCCTGCAGGCATACATGAAAGGAATGTTGTATACATAATAAACAAATAAATATTTTAAAAAGATCAAGAAAGCGATTGAGGCATTTTCTCACAAGGTCTCTTTTTCCCAGATAACTGGAGTTTGTGACAGGCTGATGAGAGCCAACCAGCGCAGTTGCTAAACCAGGAGCTGCACCTTGGGGCACTTCAGTGTGGAGTTGGAAGCAGCCATTCACCGCTTGTACTTCCGTAGTGTGCCTCTTGGGGGCCAGAGAGCGCTGGTCCTGGGAGACGGAAACGAAGGACTGCCTTCCCATAGGCTTGTCTGAGGCCCTAACTGGAGCCGCACACCGCTGCAATGTCGCTCTCCTTACTGTAGCCTGTGTCTGTATCTCACCTTCTCCGTGTTTACTGTCGGCTCCCTTTCTCCCCCTGGAGACACTTGAGGCAGGAGCGCTGAAATGTTCACCACTAGACTGTTGTGCATAAACAGTGCCTAGCACGCCGCAGCTGCTCAGCAAGCCTCAATGAGCAAAGAGTAGCACAGCCCTAGGGAGTGAGCTTGGGGCTCACGCGCTTTAATTTTTAAAAAGATTTATTTTATTGATTTGAACATTTTGCTTGCCCTGTATGTGTGCGCCTGGTCCTGAAGGAGGTCAGAAGAGGGCAGTGGACCCCTGGAACTGGAGTCACAGTTGTGAGCTTCCATGTGGGTGCTGGGAACTGAACCTGGGTCCTCGGGAAGAGCAGCCAGTGCTCTTACCTGCTGAGCCCTCTGTTCTCACCCTTAATCTACAGAGCCTGCTGCCCTCTGGGTCCCTCGGCTCCCCTGTTGTCAGTGCACGTAATGTGCTGTCTCTTGGCTCCAAATCTTACCCAAGGAGAAAACCCACCCGATACAGGAGAATGTCAGGATGTCCCCCAGGACAAACTGGCCACTGAAGTGTACTTTTTATAAGAAAACATCTTTAATCCACGAGGAAAAAAAAACTTTAAAAAAATGCTATCCTCCTTGGGCATAGGGACACATGTCTTTAATCCCACCAATTGGTGGACAGAGGCAGGCAGGTATCTGTGAATTAGAGGCTAGCCTGATTTACATAGTGGGCCAAGAAGGCCAGAGCTACATCGTGAGACCCTGTGTTAGTAAAAATAAAATAATGCTATCCTCATAACTCATGAGGACCTAGAGCCGCTCTTGACAGCCTGATGAAATGCCTATTCCTCTCTCCGCGGATGCGGGGTCTCCCCCGTCAGCATCTTCCCTCTCTCCGCGGATGTGGGGTCTCCCCCGGTCAGCATCTTCCCTCTCTCCGCGGGTGCGGGGTCTCCCCTACTCAGCATCTACCCCTTTCTCCTCCAGTTCAGGCTGTTGTCTGAGGGTCCAATCAGTCTCAGCATCCATTTCCCAATCACTGTGATCATCTTCAATGCTGGGCCCAGAGGAGAGTCTGAACCGATCCCTTGGGCAGATTAACATTTTGGTCAAAGCACATTGTTACTGTAAAAAAGAAGGCTTGGGGCTAACTTCCCAGGTGGTTAACAGCTGAAGCTAGGATGCTCCCAAATATTTATTCATGAAAGGCCATCTGGAGGGCTGACATTTTTACACTTATCTATGTTTTTATTTAGTGTATATCAATGTGTGCAGATGTGTGTGAATATGTGTGTACCTGCGGTCAAGGGACAACTTGGAGTTCTTTCCTTCCACCATGTAGGTCCCAGGAATCTAGCTTAGGTTGTCGGGTTGGTGGCAAATGCCTTTATCTGCTGAGCAATCTCATTGGCTCAGAGTTTGTTTTGCTATTGCTGTAGATTAAGATGTTTACTTTTACTTTGTGCATATGATTTAATTTGCTTCGTTTTCAAGACAGGGTTTCTCTGTGTAACAGTTCTGGCTGTCCTGGAACTCCCTATATAGAAGATCAGGCTGGCCTTGAACTCAAGAGATTCACCTGCCTCTGCCTCCTGAGTGCTGGGATTACAGATATGTGTCACCACCACCCAGTTCATATGGTTTAATTTTTTAAAAGATTTATTTTATTGGTTTGAACATTTTGCTTGCCCTGTATGTGTGCACCTGGTCCTGAAGGAGGTCAAAAAAGGGCGTGGATCCCTGGAACTGGAGTTACAATTGTGAGCTTCCATGTGGGTGCTGGGAACTGAACCTGGGTCCTCTGGAAGAGCAGCCAGTGCTCTTACCTGCTGAGCCCTCTCCAGTGCCCAGAGCTATTTTTTAAGATTACAATTACTCCTAATGTTGCCGTGCAATTCAGAGTGAGCCGTATGCAAATCCCACAGTGCTTGCACAGAACCCTGCCGAGTTCCTTGGTGCAGAAACTCAAAGCCTTCCGTTCCTTCAGAATCCATTCCTTGCTTGTCTCCTCCCCATTCGCCCTTCTCTGTTCCTGGCAGCCGCTGCTCACACACTTTCCTGTTCCCTAGCATCCTTAAGCCATGCTTGTTTCCATAAACATCCTTTACTCCCGCGGGTCTGCCAAGAAACCCCAGAATCCTATCTGTTACCCTGAGCCCCAAAGTGGAAACCCTGGAAGTCCTGCTTTCCCTGCGCTCACACATACCCAGCTGCCTTGGCATCTGCCAGAGCCCCAGCACCTAATACATCAATCTCTCCCATTTGGCCAATGCATAATCAACCACTCTCTCTTTCCATTTGCCAACCCTTGTGACACTCACCTCTATCTGCATTTCTTCATTTATGTCCTCATCTTTGGGAGAAGGCACAGCAGGACGCCTCTTCTCCTGGCTCCCACTTCTTGCTCCAAGCTCCTCCAAACAACTCTACGGTGCCACTTGCCTGTGAGATAAGTGTTAGCTGTCTCCAAGGTAACAAGCTGCACCACGGCAGCTTGGGGCCAGGAATGGCAAAGAGCTTGCTCCCCCAGCGAAGAAGGGGCTCCTAGGCTGTTGCAAGCTTCCCTGGCAGGTTAACCTGCATTTCTTCCCCTCTGGGTCAGCCCAGTCTATGGTTTAGGCTAGTAGAGCCCTGCTGCCTTCTTGTGGTAGGACTGGAGGAAAGATACACCGGAAGCTTTCCTCTTCAGTTCCCCCAGGGAACTGGGAGCAAGCCCAGCGAGAGGGATTTGGCAGTCTCCGCCCACACCAGGCCCAGCCCCACCCGCAGTCAACTGTGGACAGCAGGCCAGTGACTCCAGGGCGAGTTGCTGCCGGGGTCATTCTCTCCCGCGGCTCCTAAAGCCAGGGACTCAGAGGAATCACCTGGTTTGTCCGATCTCATTTAGGAGAGTGGCCCAGAACCGTGCTCCAGTGTGGCAACGGGCCCTTTAACAAGGGCCTCAAGTGATTGTGATGTAACCGGCTCTTGGCACACGGTGTCAGCCGCCTCTGAGTCCTTCGACAGAGGCAGATGGAGGTGAGGGGGTTTACCCCGCGCCCAGCAGCTAGTGAGTAGCTAAGCTCTTTGATCCCAGTCACTTGTTAGTCGGTCTTCATTGCTAGAACCTTTCACTTCGGAAGTTGGAACTCCTGCTACTTGGGGCTTATCTTTCAGGTGTTGGGCCAGCAACAACCAAACTTCCCAAACAGAAGTTGTTGACTGATTGTCAGGTTCTCCGGGTTGCAACCACCCTGTGTAAATTTAGGGCATGCAGCGCTCTGTTGACACCAACAAGGCAGGTGAGGGGAGGGTGAGGAGCTTGCAGAGCCATAGAGCACCCAGAGGGCTATGACATGGACAGAGGTGAGAGGGCCCAGCCACCCACCTTCAGGAGAATCCTAGGTGGAGGCCAAGGTTACAGAATTTCAAGTTCAAGGCCAGCTTGTACACAGTGAGACCCTGTCTCAAAATGCTGGAGGTGGGGTGGGGCATGCAGGAGGAAATAAAGAAAAATCCTGGGAGGAAGCTGGGTAATTTCGCAGCATCATATTTTGAAACATGAGGTAATCTACTTTTCATGTCCCTTGCTTCTGAGATTCAGGGTTTTTTTTTTCTTTTTTTTTTTTTTAAATATTTATTTATTGGTTATCTACAGCATGTTTTCCTGCACACCAGAAGAGGGCATCAGATCTCATTACAGATGGTTGTGAGCCACCATGTGGTTTCCGGGAAATTGAACTCAGGACCTCTGGAAAAGCAGTCAGTGCTCTTAACCACTGAGCCATCTCTCCAGCCCTCACTCGGTTTTGTAAAAGCCAGAGCTGCTAAAAGAGTGACGTGCTAAGGGAGGGGAAGTGAAGAAGGTCCTAAAGTCAAGAGGAAGGCGGGAGAACATCAAGACGCTTTCAATTCAGAGACAGAAACTAACGCAAACTGGCTGGGGGTGGGGGACTTATTTGTGTAAGTAACACACAAGTCCAGATAGTCTGGCTTTGGCTACTACGAGGCTAACAAAACTGTCTTCATGGCTCAGCTCCCTTTCTTCTGTAATGGCTCAATTCTCAGGCCGGCTCCTCAAGTGTGCCTGGAAAATCTGGATACAGTGGTACCAATCTCTCCCCACTAGCCAACAGTGAAAGAGCTTTCTTCCCAGGAGGTCCGGCTAAGTCCCAAGCTTGGCTCCTTGGTCCACACCATTATGCTTCCAGAACCAAGCGTATGACTGACTGTACTGTCAGAGAGGCTGTGGGCCAGCTCTGCAGTCAGGTGGACACGCACACACACCCCGTCTTCCTCTATCACTCTCTACTTTCCTCCTTTAAGGTAAGGTCTGCCCTTGAACCCAGACCTCTTTTCTTTGGGCTAGGCTGGCAGCCAACACGACCTAGCAGTCCTTCTGTCTGCCCCCCACAGTGCTAGGGTTCCAGGCACACACGACAGCACACTTGGCTTGTTTCCTGGGCACTGAGAACTGAGCTCTGGTCCTCACGGCCGCGCAGGAGCTCTTGACTAGAGCCAACTGTTCCTTCTCTGTCCTTTGCTCCTTAACTATGAGTGGGAGGTTCAAACGTCTCTGAGGGAAGCCGTAGGTAGAGGAACTTCTCTGGAAGGCACACACCGAGAAACCAGAGTACGAAAATGAGAAGGGGTAGAGGCATGCTCCGTGCTTGGCAGCACACCTTTGTGAGATGGGAAGACCTAAGAGGAGATGAGTCCTCGGGGTACCAGGGATGGTCCAGAGTCATGGGAGTTCCTAGCACTAGTTTGTCACACCCCATGTGTGGGCTGGGCACAAGAGAGACACTGCACGACCCGGCATGGGTCAACTGAAGCCTCAGTATGTGTGGACAGATGACAAACAGTTCAGAGACCCAGGGATGTCACATGATTTGTAAACCTCAGGAACGAACGCATGCCCACCTCTAGGGAAGAAGAATGTGGTTAATTTTTAAGTCCCCTTGCAGCACATGGGTGTTGGGGACTGCAGACCACCAGACTCTGACTTTCTTGTAAACAACTTGTTTCCTCTGCTCTGAGCACACTGCTCAGAGCCCGAGACCCTGATGGCAGGCTGGTGGACCTGCAGCTGAAAGATCCCGAGAGCTGGGGCGTGGTCAGAGCCCTAGATAAGCTGCCTCTGAGCATAAAGTGGGCACTCTTGTATCAAGGATGTCCCCGTGGTCCCTTCTGTTTGTCTGTCTCTGTTGTGTTTTTAAATTTTCAGCCTAGTTCCTGTAGCACATAGTGAGTGGAGCGCGGAACAGAACCGGTGCAGCTTTACAAATGGGGGCAACTGATTTGAAGGTATTTTCCTGGGGGTTCAAATCCTGAAAAAGCCCTAGAAACCAATGGGTGGTCTTATTTAGCGTCACCAATTAAGGGTGTCAGCATTGTACAATACCACTGAACAGTGACTGCAAAGAGAAGCCTTGGCAAGAAATAGATATTGAGATACTAAAGACAATTTTAGCATATTATTCCATTTTTCTTTGAACAAAGTAGACAATATTCACCAGGTGCTCTTAGTAGGGAGCAGCTTCTTCATGGGGGCCAACTTTTGTGGTTCTCTGCATTCTGCATCTAGAAACAAGCCATAGATTTAGCTTCTAATGCTAGAGCCAAGGAATCATGCAACTGGGACAAGCTATTTTTGTTTCCTTTAGACTAGCCAAACTGGCAATGTGAGACAGCAGGAGTCCTAAATCTGAAGCCAGGGAACCTGGATTTGAAACCCAGATTTATACCAATTACTCCTTTTATAGAGCTTGGACAACTTTCATTGTTCTGACCCTCAGTTCTCAGTCTAGAGAGACCCTCGTCTTACTGCGCAGGAGAGGGTAAAGGTGACACAGAAAAAAACAAACCGCATGATTTAATGCTACTTTCTTTTCCTAAACATTCCGAGTGCCATTATTCAGCCACAGCACTCTGTAAAATATGAACTGCCTTAATAGACAGGTAGACTGTAGTTATTTTGGTATTTGGTAAATTGTTTTGTAATTGGAATTTACAGCAGCGTTCCTTTTTTTTATTAAGAATTTTTTTTATACAATCTTTTCTCATTTTACATAGCTATCCCTGTTTTTAGTATTCAAGCATCTATACTGGCTTGACCTTGGGGTATATGTCCTCAGCCACAGTCACTAAGAGCAACACCCATGCACATTCAATACGTTCCCTTTTAAAGCCCCTGCCCACCTCCCATCCCTTCCTCCCTCCCTCCCCGCTTCTCTTCTGTACCCAGAGGCTGGTCTTCGCTCCCGCATCCAGTTTCCCCCAGTTAAAAAAAAAAAAAGAAAAAAAAAAAAAAGAGCTGTTACAGGGTCTCTTTCTCTGCCCACTACTTTTTCTAAATTACAACATTGGTTCCCTGGTCAGGAAGGTTCTTCTGGAGTTTCCTTCTGCCCATAGGCAATTCAAGGCACACCAGGATCCAGGAACCCGGTCCACATACGACAGACAGCCTCGCTTCTCAGGATCGCTGGTCCCTCCATCCCAAACCGGCACGACTGGTGAGCCGCTCCTCTTTCTCCACCTTTGGGTATTTCGCACGGGTGAGGGATCTTCTAGTCTCTCGGATGAGTTTTCTCGCCTTTTGGCTTCATTAAGTACTGGTACCAGGCAACCATGACCCTTTCGGGCTCAGAGCCCTTGGCCTGACGACCCTCTAGATGGCCTGTGCCAGTCGCATTTCTCAGACCCAGTCCTTCGGCCCCTTCCTCTTGACCGATCACCAGGCAGCTTGTGCCTTTCTAGCGATCCTGCTTGATTAAAAAGCCATTGGATCTTGTTCTGCTTCACGCATGGGAATAAGTCTACCAGAAAATCTGCTTCCTAACACTCTTCTATCGTGATATTTTACGGGACCTTTGCAATATTCTGCCAGCTATACTGATCTCTGTTGCAGGAGGCATGTTTGCTCAATAGCAGAGCTCACTGAAAGGTAATCACTTCACCCTGGGACCCTACCCACCTGCCCCACCCCCAACAGATCTGTTCTTTTCCACCTGCAACAAATCTGCTTTCTTGTTTACGGGTGGCTCCGTCTTCCATTCAATATTGTCATTTGGGTCTCTGGTGGGGCTACCCGCCTCTGACCTTTCCCGAGGCTTCCTTTCCCAAGCACAGTCTTCTCCTCACCTTCTGGCTTTTCTTGAAGTCCTGGGACCAGGTGACCGTGTGTCTCTCAGGCTCAGAGCCCTTGGTCCCCACCCTTTGTGTGCCTATCTCGAAACTGACCCTCTCTGAATTCCTGGAACACTGAGAATTGCAGACCTTTGGGTCTTCTGATACCTCCTTGCTCCCATTGGGATGTTTTTGGAGACCCACTGACCATTCCTAATCAGCTAGTGTTGCAGGACTACCAGCTGCTGGCCAAAGAGCTGGAGGTGCAAGGACCATCAAACATGTCCAGGTGATGTGTGGTGATGGGAAAGGATCAGGTGCTTTGAGCCCTCGGGAGTTGATTTGGATCCACGTTGGACAGCATTTTGCCAGATCCAAGCAGCACCTGACAGTTCCACAGAGCATGAACAGTGAAGTGAAAACAGTTAGCTACTCCAGGATGTGGCCAGCACCCCAGCATTCCCAGGTCCCCCAAAGATGAAAAACGCCCAAGTCAGCAGGAAGTAGTCCTGAGAACATGGCGTCCTCATCCCTGCCTTACCTGCTACCCCTTTCTAACTCCTCACCTTTTAAAAATAAATGAAAAGGGAAGCATGCTAGTATTCAAGCCTCTATGCAGCAGCCCCACCAGAGACCAAACTGACAATTTTGAATGGAAGGCAAAGCTACCAGTGAAGGAGAGAGCAGGTCTGTTGAGGGTGGAGCAGGTGGATAGGGTCAGGGAGCTCTGCTACACTTGGGATGTGCGTCCTCAGCTGCAGCCACTAAGAGCACCAACTGTGCACAATCACTATGGTCCCTTTTAAGAGCCATATCCACCTCCCATCCCTCCATCTGTCTCCATCTGCCTGTCCATCTGACCCCTTTCTCTTCTGTCCCCAGAGGCCAGTATCCCCTCTTCCTTCCCCCATTTTCCCATTCACTTTCTCCCAATAAAATCCTCTCCACCTGAGCTCCACTGAGCTCCAGTGCATGGTGTCTTTCTCATGCCACTTTTTCTAAATTACAACATCCATTTCCACTCCCTCCCCTCCTCCAGCTTCACCCTTCCTCCCTAGCCCCCCATTCTCTCCTCAGAAAGGGTAAGGCTTCCCAAGGGGAATCACCGAAGTCTGACACTTCTCTTTGAGGCAAGACCAATGCCCTCCCTCCTATATCTAGGCTGAACAAGGTATTCCTCCAAAGAGAATGTGCCAATTCAAGCAGTAGGGATTAATTCTGGTCCCGCTGCCAGGGGCCCCCCAGTCTGCCCAAGCCTCACAACTGTCCCCCACATTCAGTGGTCCTATGCAGGTTCCCCCACTATCAGTCCAGAGTCAGTGAGCTCTCACTAGCTCAGACGAAAAGCCTCAAAAATCACTCAAGAACAACAAAAGCCCCCCCCAAATCTCTCAAGGGAGAAATAACCTGCAGAGGAAATTATGTGTTCACACAGGTATTATTTATAAGATGGAATGCCACCTAGAAAAGCCTTGGCAGATGTGTGCATATGTGTGCTTGTGTAAAATATCTCTTATATGGGAGTAGTGACGTACAACTTTAACTCCAGTACTTGGGAGGCAGAGGCAGGCTAATCTCTCAGTTGGAGGCCAGCCTGGTCTACAGAGAGAGTTCCAGGACAGTCGGGGCTACACAAAAAACAAAACAATCACCTCCCCGCCAAAACCCAAACCAAGCAACCAACCAAAACAAAACAAAAAATAAATCACCTTATTAAGATGAACAGCTGTAAAATGCCTGTTGGAATACCTACTAAGTCATGAGGTGAATATATCTGGGAAAAGAAAACCCTTTTATTTTAGCTGAGGAGTTACTGGCAAGTGATGGTTGTGGGGGATGGGTAGCAATTTTCATCAGGGGTGTGGCTGCTGGTAGGCTGCCCTTGTGACACAGGCAGCAGTGATTGGATTTGATGGGCTGCAAGAAAAATTTACAAAGATGTCAAGGTGCGAGGGTTACCTGGGAGGGGTCTGGGAGAGTGGGGGGAATTAGGAGTGGGTAGGATCAAGATATACTGTATATATGTAAGAAACTATCTAAGAGTAACTATTTAAAAATAAACTTTTTAAAAGAAAAAAGAATACTCAATAAGCTATTAACAATGGTTCACAGGAAAGTGGGTTATGAGTGGGCACTTATCATGTTCAATACTCCTGGGCTTTAAAAAGTATTTTTATTTTTGTAAATGTGTGTGCCTGTGAGTATGCACATGTGTACAGTGCCCATGGAGTATGCACATGTATGCAGTGTCTGTGAGTATGCACATGTGTACAGTGCCCACGGAGGTCAGGAGAAGGCATCAGATCTCCTGGATCTGAAGTTGCAGGTGGTTGTAAGCTATCCGACGTGGGTGCTGGGGACCTTTGCAAAAGCAGTCAGTGCTCTTGCTCTTAACCTCTTCAGACCCTTGGAATGTTTTGTTAAACATGCATGCATACACTTTGTTAAAAAGAAAATCCTTTTATGCCAGCTTATACTTGTGAAAACTGTCGTTATAATAGCACTTGCGCAGACGTTGCTGAAGGTCCAAACAGTGGTGTTAGAGCGGTTAGCCGAAGGTGGCATTCCAACTAGTAAGCTCATCCTGCTAGTCACTGACCACATTAGTAAGTCAAGTATGTAGGAGGTGAGCTGGTCAGATCTTAGATGTACAGAGTAACTTTTACCCCACGACAATTATGGATGACCCAAAAGATCTTTGGTTCTTCAACTGCATTTCAACAAAACAAGGCAATGTAAGAGGATAGAGTTGCTTTAATGGGTGAATAAATCTGTCTTATACAACTACTATTAAATATTTAAATAATGTGAAGAAGTGCCAGAGAAAGGGGCACATTATTTTACTAGAAAACTGGCCTAATCCATCCATGTCTTGGAATACTAATAATAAGCGCACTGTTATTTTTCTGTTGCTGTGCTACAACGTAACGACTAAAGCAACTTACAGAAGGAAGGGCTTGTTTGGCTTCTGGTTTCAGAGGGGTAATAGGCATGGTGGGGAAGCACGGCAGCAGACACAGCAGGAGCAGAAGCTGGGGGCTCACTTCTTGAACTGCAAGCATGGAACAGAGAACTGGGAATGGCATGTGGCTTTGAAATCTCAAAACCCACCCCACCCCAGAGACCTAATTCTTCCACGAGGCCACACCTCTTCTTAAACTTCCCAGACAGCCACCAACTAGGGACCAAGTATTCAAATGTCTGAATAAACTATGAAAACCTGAGGCTAAAGGGGACATTCCCTTTCAAATCGCAACTGTTCTTGTCTAAAGACAGCAGAGCGAGGAGTGGAAGGGAGGCTCCTTCACATGTGGTGCTAACAACACCACCCAAAAGGCGAGGTCTCTGCGAATGTGCACAAGTGCTGTGAGACTGTTCTGGTGGCTTTAAGACAGGCTGGCCTCAAACTTCCCATGTAGCTGAGGATTACCTTGAACTTCTGATCCTCATGCCTCTACCGCCTGGGCACTAGAATTATAGGCAAGTACCATGACACCTGGTTTATTCAGTGCTGGGGATTGAACACATGGCCTGGGAGAGCTACATCCCTAGGAGTAAACATTTAAAATCGAAGCTTATTAAAAGTAATAGAAGCCTTTTTAGTTTCTTTAGTAGACAATTTATTTTGATAAACTTGCTCAATAACAAAAATACAAGTGAAGAAAATTATGTTCACTTTATACAGTCGTATTAACAATTTGTTTTCAAACTATTAATTGAAAAAATGTTATAACCAATTAGAAAACAATTCTCAATAAAGTTGGGATAATATACAGATCTTGACCACAAGCTAAAACCTCTCAAGGCAATACAACTAAAATTTCCGTGTAGGTAATTCTACACAGGCCACCTTTTTCCTTCATATATTTTTATCCTTCAAAAATTTTCTGAAAGCTTACTGTTTTGACTTGTGAGTGAAAATTTAAAAGAAATCAAAGTGGGTTGATAAAACAGTTACTGTAACCAGAGTAACCAGTGACTAGTAGTCTTTTAATAAAGACAAAATAAATGCAACACGTTCTTCTAATGAAGCCCATGATGCAAAATCATAGCTAAGAATAGATCCAAAGTTAGTTTTCCACACCTTTTCAGGACCTTTCTTCTAAATCAATAGATTGCCTGTCACCAGGACTATCTGCTATTTCACTGAAGAGATTAAACAGTGAACTCACAGAACACCACAGAGAGAAATCAAAGCTGTAGGCAAAAGGATAAAAACCAATTTGTTTTGGTCATCTAGAACATTACAAAGGAAAAAAAGGCATCCTTCAAAAACAAAACAGATGGAACAGAAACTAGGTTTGTGAGAGATGAAGAGTCGGCAACATCACACCCACACACGAACAACACAGAACATGGGTTACCTTTGGAAAGGATCGTACTGAAATGTTTGCTTTTAATGAATTGGAGATTTTTATCTTACAGATGTTTAGGTTTGTTCAATAGGAGCTTCCCCAAAACTCAAACTAATTCAGTCTTGTGCAAATAAAACCTAAAAATAGTTTTCAGCAGATTTTACAGTGATACTCTTAGGCATGAGGAGAACGTACACTCTAAGAACAATGTAACAGACAAAAATTTGACAAATGATTGCACCATAAGTGTTTTATATACATTTTACAAGATATGACTCCTGCTATAAATTAATACTGTGCTATGTAGTGCTCATAGTGACCTTTTAAAAGCAGCTGCTGGCAGCTGGGCGTCCTTCCACTTACAGGACAGATTATACGGATGAGCCCACTTCAGCAACATTTGGTCTGGGAGAGTTTACAAGGACAGGACTTCACACACTACTAGATGGGATGGTTTAATCCTGGGTTAGAGCTGAGTGGCTAGAGAGATGTTCCCCACCAGCTCGTCATGCACCGGTCCTCCAAGACAATGATGAAATTAAAGACAATTTAATGGTTTGGTAATAGATACAAATAAAACCTAAAATTTTGTAATCTTAAATGCAATACCACTGTAATTGAGAGAAGTAAACAGTGGGGAAATTCATAGCAGCTGAGAAACTTTCTCTCCCCATGCTCATGATCCAGTTAAAGATATCTTGAGAAACTATTTACAATAAAACCCATCTTTTGAAAGAGAAAAGCTCTTGGTCATGTCAGTTAATTTGAACTGTATGTTGCTAATACTTCATATCAGTGGTATTATGCCAACTACCAAAGCTTTCCTTCAAAGTGACCCATCTGACTAAGGGATCATCAGAGTACAATCCACAGTGTGCACACAACAAACTTGTCTAGTGGTGGCCTCAGAATGACTTGATGTAATACTTGGTGGAAATGTCCTTCCTGATTTACTATAGGCTTCACACAGAAGGGTCTCCCCCAGACTTCCTGGGTGAGCCCAAACACTGGGTTTTCATCCACAACTTAATACTGTGAAGCGGTGAAGAACAAGCTGGCGGGAAGGAAATGAAGCTCCGTTCTGAACTGTCTCTGAGGAGGTAACTCCACCTCTGAGGAATTATTCTGAGGAATAGTCAAGCTTCTTAGAAATCATTCCAGCTTGTATGAAGCCCAGGCTGCGTGCGGCTCCGTTCTGTTCACCAACAGGGACATCTAGATTGCCATTCACTATAGAGATTACAAACTCAGCTCCACTGCCATGAAGCACCCTCGTGACGAGCTCCAAACGGCATTAGATAAGGTTCACCAGGAGAAATCTAGGTGCTGACACAGACATGGACACGTAGAGAAGAATGGACTGTGTTTAAAGTATTCATGAATTCAGGGTAAGCTGTACTGTTGCTTCTAGAAAAATCCTTAAGGCCGTGGGTTTAATGCAGCCTTCGAAACAAATGCAAGGGTGTCAGCTTTTCAAGCAAACAAAGGTGCGAAGCCTATAAAGGAAATAGTGTATTGCTCAAGTGTTTGGGAAAGATGTATTAACAATGCTTACAGACTAAATGTCATTTTTATGGTAGAGTAGAATTAGTGTTGTAAATAGGCCAAACAGCCAGATATTTGCTAGTGAACTTATGTTTACATGAAGTTGTGTGCTTGAACATATACAATACATTATTAATGTAGAAGACTGAGCCAGTGGGAAAAAACAATTCTCTATAATACAACAGATGACAGTTGCCAATCATTTCAACAGTGTCAGATTCCCCAACCTATAAGGTTTGACATGACCTTACCTTTACTATCATATACAAATAAATTAAACCTAGAAAGAATCTTTAGCTTAACTTAAAATTGCACCTAGAAAGGTATGGAGTTATTTGTACCTATTACAGAAACCTGTCAAAATCAAGGGCTACTACAAAGAATGAGGTAAACTGAAGACTCTCTCCACTATGCAGCCTTCAGATAAATGGCTTTTTTCTATTGAGTTCTAGGTTGCACACCACAGTGTTTTGCTAGCAAGCATTCAGAGTTCTCTTCCAGGAACTGTTTGCATGTGTGCATATATAAATGTACACACACATACACACACACACATATACACACTGTATACTGCATCAGCAAAATATATATATTATATATATATTTATATAAATATAAGGAAGATTTCCCCCACCCACCCCAAACTTGTTTCTTAGTGTTTTCTTTTTTTCATTTGTACACAGAGATTAGGGAGTTTTAGAATTTTTACATACATTTTAGCAAACAAGTTTTGATCTATTGGCTTCTCGGTGCAGTAATGCAATGGCAATCCATTGTGGTGCCAAAGGCTCATAACATGACAAAGAAGTTGAGAACACTAATGTCTTAGGAGGTGAGGCCAGCCCCACACGAACCTCCAGCACCCCTCTGGTCCATCATGATTCATAAATACTAGGCTCCCCCCCCCATGAATCATTAGACATTAAAAACAGATCACCAGAGTCACAAGGGCCACATGCTTTCAGTATAAAGCACTCTCCTTCACTAGGTCACTATCACAGTGCAGACTGCCTGCCTGAATATGCTCAGGAGATTTAGTCAATATTGTATTTGGTTATGGAAAAGGCTCTCATTCTCTTTTAAAATCCAAAGTGCATAGTGAGAACAAATCAAAACATTTTTTTTTTCTTTTCAGCATCAGGTTCATCTAAGCATCTTCCTATGAGAGGACTGCCCAGATGCCTTCTTCTTGTCCTCCCAACCTCTAAAAATAAAAAATAAAATTAAAAATAAAAGCAAGTTAAGCCATTTAGACATTCGTCAGCCTGGTAAACAGACTTTGCCAGCAAAGAGAAGTCCTACTATTGTGAAGAAAA